GGTTCATCAGCAGAGTGGGGAGTCAGTGATGAGTCTCCGCAGCATGTCACAGCCGCTCCCTGGGGACTCCTAGCAGCTTCCTGGCTCACCTCCTTTGGCAAGAGATGCTGCGATCTGCAGAGTGTGGACTCTGTCTCTGCGTGTCTGCTGGTGCCAGCTTCCAAACTGGCATTTGACAGGGGTGGTGCTCCTGTGCCCCACTCCGAACTACAAACAGAAGCGAAAGTCTTCTGAATTCCCCAAGGCAGAGAAAAATACGGAGCTTTCACTACAAGCAAACGTGACGATATAGTTCCTTCTCTGTTTAAAAGTCTCATCAAGGGGATGGGAGCCTAGTCAGTTTCTACCAGTTAACACCATAGCATGGGAACAGCCTTTCTTCCGGCAGGATGAGCCTCACGTTTTCATTTCTCATTAACTTGTCTCATTTCCAGTAAGATTCTATTCCTGAGAATTGCCTCGGTCTCTCTCACCTCCCTGCTTGTGGCGGTTTCAGCAGGAAGTCAGGATACAAGGAGGAAAGCTTGGTGCAAAGTCTTTGGACCTTTGCCTAGTCTCTCTGGGTTTTGGTCTGAGAAACGGTACACTCTGGATGCGTTCAGGCCAGCACACATCACCCACACACACCCACACTTTACAGCGGTTCAGCTGGTGGGGCACGCTGCATTCTGACATCTGTCCCAGGTGAAGAGAACCTTCATGGGGGGTTATGCCGAGACGGGATGGTCTCAATAATGCACCTGGCACAGAGCCTGGCAATTGAAGGTGCTCAACAAATGAGTGACTAAAAAGGAGAAACAGAAAAACTGATTTCAAAGAGCAACGCCCACACTCAAGTGGAATTTTCCATTGCAGACTAGGCAGCGGCCTAGGGGCATAGTGGGATGGGGCCAGCTAGCACCCCTTCAGTTGATAACAGCGGGCACCCACAGAGGAAATGAACTGTAGCGACTGGGGTAAGGGAGAGGGAAGACTGCATCTTAGTTTCCAGGTTTCAGATGCCATGGAAAAGTCTAGAATGCTCTTTGGAAAAAAGAAGTGGCTGAGTGAGCAACGTTCTCCTTAGCCCCCAATTTCTTCCTCTGCAAAAAGAAGATTGTAATGCATGCTCCTGGTTGGTATAGTTAAATGAGATAAAGTGACAAGTAGCTGAGAAACTAGAAAGCATCTAGGAAGATTCCTCCCTCTTGCCCAGAAGAGTCTCTGGCTGTAAGTGGTGGAGCCAAGACACGTATGAGGAGTGTTTTTTGAGGAAGAGTTTTGGTGTGACCACAGGTAGAAGGGAGGGGCCATAAAGCATGTGTGGAGAACAAAGCCTGGGAGATTCAGCCAAAGCTGGAGAGGGCGGGGAGGAAGGGGAGGGTGCAGTGGGGCAGGGCTCTGGTAGGCAGCCCTGCTAAGAGGCTGGGGACGCTTGTTCAGGCTGCTCCAGACTGGTCAGGCTCGGGGGTACGTGAGACACTTCCAGAGTCCTGATGAATGATCATTTACTAACAAACTCTCTCACCTGTCAGAAGGAATGTTGGTGGCCTCTGCTCATTGGCCAAGAGGAGGGCCACTCTGGAATGCTGTCATTGAATCTCCCAGAAGTGCATGGACATGTGCATACACACACACACACGCGCGCGCACACACACACACACACACACACACACACATACACACACAGATATACATAAAGCAGCTGCACCCTATGCCATTGTGGCTTTAATTTGCATTTTCTAAATGGCTAATGATGTTGAACATGTTTCCACATGCTTATTTGCCACTTGTACACCCTCTTGTGTAAAATGTATCTTCCTATTTTCTATCCATTTTCTAATTAGCTATTTTTAACATTGGCTGTTGCATTTTGAGAGTTCTTTTTATAGTTTAGATACTAGCCTTTCGTCAGAGATGTGCTTTGCAAATATCTTCTCCCAGTCTAGAGCCTGTCTTTTCATCGTCTTAACAGGACCTTTATCAGGGCGGAAGTTTTCAGTTTTGATGAAGTTCAATTTATCAATTTTTCCTTTCATGAATTATGCTTTTGGTATCACATGTAAGAGCTCCTTTCCTAATCCTAGATTCTGAAGATTTTCTTGTATTTTATTCTAAAGGTTTTATAGTTCTATTTTACATTTAAGTCCATTATCCATGTTGAGTTAATTTACGACGTGTGAAACTTACACTGAGGCTTGCATTTGCTATGGGTGTCCAGCTGCTCCAGTCCCATTTGTTGAACAGGAATCTTAAATATTTTTGAAAGCACTAATCAGTCATTTTAACACTAATATCTGATAACTCACTTGTGGTCACTCGTAGGTTTGTTTCTTTTGTCTGTTTTTTCTCTTGATCCTATTTTTTGGGGGTATACCTGTTAATATGTGTTTGGATACTGGACATTATAAATCAAACATCATAGTGACTATAGATGATGATATTTTCCTTCATAAAGTGTTTATCCTATCCTCCATCAGTGAATGTGGAATAATAGACCTCTTTACTTTGTCAGGAGTTGAATGCCTTGAAACTTAGTTTCATGCTTTGTAGGGACTGGTTTGCCTCTTGTGCACATGCCCACATTCAGAGTATAGCCTTCTCAACCAATATCCTGGAGTATTTACCAAGGATCATCTTCCTGTGTGGGTCAAAAACTCCAATTTTTATTTCCCCAGCATCCAAATCTCTAATCAATTGCATTTCAGATACTGTCTGCTTGGTTTCTTTGTCTTTAGCCCTGTGTTGCAGGAGGGTGCTTTGGAGGGTGGGGAAGAAATAGATGCAGTATGTTTGTTTGACTTTTCTGCACCTCCCTACTTTCAGGTCTCTGAATCCTTCACTTTCTGTTTCGGCATACTCAGACTTCAAGTATTGTCTCCTGGGTCCCGTGATGTTGCCGAAAGCTCTCCCAAACTTTGAGGTCATCCTCAGTCGAGCCCCTGCAGTCTCCCTGCTGCTCGGATAGCTCACCCATGCAGAGGGGCACCTGCAGCAGGACACAGGGCTCACTCAGGGCACCCCTTCTCTCCAGGACCTGAATGCTTAGGGCCTGCCTCTTCTTTTTTTTTTTTTTTTTTTTTTGAGACGGAGTCTCGCTCTGTCGCCCAGGCTGGAGTGCAGTGGCCAGATCTCAGCTCACTGCAAGCTCCGCCTCCCGGGTTTACACCATTCTCCTACCTCAGCCTCCCGAGTAGCCGGGACTACAGGCGCCTGCCACTGCGCCCAGCTTGTTTTTTGTATTTTTTTAGTAGAGACGGGGTTTCACCGTGTTAGCCAGGATGGTCTCGATCTCCTGACCTCGTGATCCGCCCGTCTCGGCCTCCCAAAGTGCTGGGATTACAGGGTTGAGCCACCGCGCCCGGCCCAAGGCCTGCCTCTTCTTATGGCTGAAAACAGCCTTTTTGTTTTGTTTTGTCCTTTGATGTAAGTTAGTTCTAGTTGCCCTTGCCTGGAGTGTTAGTCTGCTGTAAGTTGCTCTGTCATAGTTGAAAAAGGTCCTCCAGACCCTGTGTTTTGACCAAGGTTTGCCTGACTCTAAATTCCTTCACCTTTGTATTCTAGCTAAACTTAATATACAGTTTTCATGAAAATACACCCATAAACAAGAAAACTCTCTGATTGAAGATTCATACACAAAGACAAACACACCAATTCATGCTTCATGTACATCACACTCAGGGTTTTCTATTTTTAGCCGCACGCATCAGAAAACAGCCACTCTGGCTACTTTTGAGGTAATGGTCTAGGTCCTAATTTAAATACAAAAAGGAAAACACCGTCGCTGACTGGAGGGCCTGGCATCTCCTGTGTCCTGGATGGCACCAGCCCCCCAGGCATGCGGAAAGAACTACAGTCCCCTGGAGCTATGCCACCTGTCCGGGGGCTCTGACCCATTCATGCAAAATGGCTGCACCTCCACCCTTGTTATATGGTGATGTCCTTGGAGTGCTTTACATCTTCCAAAGCCACGTGACATCTGCGGACTCCCCAGTCTACTAAAGCAAGAAGGGTGGAAGGGGTGCCTCAGTGGAGCCATGTCTATTCACACCCATCCATCCACTTGGCATCTCTTTCTCGGTCACAGGACTCCCGGCGTGCCACGCCTTCCTGCTGCTCTGGGAGTCTGTGCGAGTTCTTCTTTCTCCTCACTTAGGATCTTACCTCTCACCACACGCTTGCTTGTGTCACCCACTCCAGCCAGACCACAATCCCCGGAGATTCCTGAAACTCTCAAGGTATCTCAGACCTCTGCTCCTCAGCAACGCCAATCAAAACACTCCTCTCTTTCTTCCTGCCCTTCTCTGGGCTGTCACATGGGTGTAAGACACCACCTCAGGGAAGCCTTCCAGGATCCTCCAGCAGGGTTAGAGGGAGGCACCTGTGGCTGGGGACCCACTCCTGCCCTCTGCCATGGCGCTCCCTGCCCTGCTGCCATTAATGCTGTGTTTATGTTTGGGCCTCTGGCAGTCCTTGGCTGTTTTCCAAGAAGCAGCTCTTACCATGGGGTGGTGCTGCTGAAGTCAGCCTGAGTCCAAGCCTTTCAGGCTGAGCCGCCAGCTCCGAAGAGCAAGCACAAGGAGGGCCTAAGGAGACATGCGGTCTCCTTTTAGGAGCTGGGCTGAGGACCCTGGCGGGGCTTCGGTGGACTGAAGGAGAAAAGGGGAGTGAGGACTTTGGATTTGCACCCATGGCATGGCCAAATACTGGACAGTAAATATGAGCCAGCAGGTTCCTGGGTCAGGGTACACCAGCCTGGCGAAAGCATCACACCCCCATCTCCTTGTGCTCAGATGGGGAAACTGAGACTCGGAGGGGGGTGCCCAGGCCACTCTGCCCTCGTCTCAGGTATTGGAATTAGGTGAGGCCTGGATGAGCCCTTAAAACCATCATTTTGGGACCAGGACAGGATGATTCTGGAGAGGAGGGGAAGAGTGAGCGGATGGGACGTGGCACTCAGGGTAACTCGGGAAGAGATCTCATCTCAGCACCCGGCAGGAGACAGACGGCACAGCCAACTAGGCTATGAGGAGGGGTTTTAATGAAGAGGCTCTTTACAAAGGTGTGAGTGTAGGCAAACCACGAGACAGTGTCGTCTCCTAGGCCTCAGAGCTTTGGGGCCCCAGGACCCAGGATGGAAGGTGTCAGGGGAGGAGGTCACCGGGACCCAGAGATGAGTGAACTTCCTGATGGCAGCTGCGGCCTCTGTTCACTTCTGGAGGACATGCGGGCTGCTCTGTTCCTGCTGAGGGAGAAGCAGCGGGGCGTTTCTACCCTGACCCCCCACTGCCCTGGCCTCCTCCCTGTCCCTCTAACCTCTTCCCAGGAGTCTCCCCTGGCCAAACCCAACCCAGAGCAGAGAGCAAGGCAGCCACGTTAACGGTCCCTGCGGGTCAGGGCAGGGCAACGAGGGTGAAGGCAGAGTGTGCAGGGTACAGGGACAGCTGGGGGAATAGCACTCTGTAGTGAGGGTGGGAGGCCTAGAGCTTTGCCATTTATGTGTCCCGGGTCCCTGGCCCCACTGTGTCTGCATATAAGGGGGCTGATGTATGGCCATCCCGAGATTCCCGGCCCTCGATCCCACTCTGCTCTGCACGCCAGACCCCAGGAGGTCAGCACGGGGGTTCCAGGCCCTGCTACTGCCAGGGCACACCCAGCTTTTCCCTCCTGGGAGCCCTAGAATTGGGTCGGGGTCTCCTTTCCCAGTACCTTTACTGTCTTCTTCTGGCTGTGCCAGTAAAGGAAACATCTGGGACAAGACACAGGGTGGAGTCAGTCAGGGAATAGGTGTGTTTTCTCTGGGGATGCTGGGGCTTGCAGAGCTCACTCACCCACCTCCAGTTATGGCCAGGAGCAGAGCACTGCTGAGACTCACAGCCCACAGGGACATCCGCCGGTTCCTGCCTGGGGTGTGAAAGAGGGAGCCAGGTGTTTGGAGGCCAGGCAGGGCTACCTCGGCTCAGAGAGAAGGCCACCATCCTTTCATTCTTTGATTTGTTCACTCATCATTTGTTTGCAAATGCTTACTGAGCACGCTGTGTGCCCAGCACATATCTAGACAAGCAAACAATCATGGTGTGGGTTTCAAGGGAAATAGGACAGGAAATGGGAGGGGAAGTGACAGTGAGGATGGTTGACAAGCCTCTGGGGTGGGAGGTGATCAGGGAAAGCTTCTTAGGAAACAGGAGTCTGAGCTGGACTTGGAAACACAAATAAGGGATCAGTTCAAGGGCAAGGCTGTGTCCCCAGCACAGGACATGCTCAAGAACAGAAGAATGGGGCTGCCCGTATGCACTTGGTGTGCCTGGGGAGAAGGGGGCCCCCGAGGAGGGTGGGCTTTATCTAGGGGCATTTGGGAGCCACTGCTGGTTATAAACAGGGAGTGTCACAGGTAGAACTGCTCCTTGAGAAGGAGTTCAGAGTGCGACGTGGCCCAGAGGGACAGGGAGGCTAATGGGAAATGCTGCTGTAAGTTAGATGGGAGATGAGGAGGCCTGAGAGTGGAGGTTAGAATGAAGCTATGGGAACACATAGAAGACTTATTTAGCAAGATGTGGTGATTCTCCATGCCAAGTGGAGGCAGATTCCTGGTTTAGGGGGCTGAGGGCATGAGTGGGGCCATTTGTTGAGAAGGGCCCTGGAGGAAGAGCAGGTTTGGGGGTTTGATGGGATTGGGCATGTTTCACTTTTTCTTTTCTTTTCTTTTTTTTTTTTGAAATGGAGTCTTGCTCTGTTGCCCAGGCTGGAGTGCAGTGGTGCGATCTCAGCTCACTGCAACCTCCACCTCCCGGGTTCAAGCAACACTCCTGCCTCAGCTTCCTGGGTAGGGATTGGCCATGTTTCTAGGCATGGCATCTCTGAGAACCAAGAGGCCTCCCGGAGTGATGTCCTACAGGCAGATGCCTCCAAGGCTCTGGAGCTTGACATGAGGAGATCAAGAAATCCCAGGAGGTGAGGATAGAGGACAAAAAAACCTTGAGTTGGGCAAAAGAGAATGACAGAGACAGTAACGGCTCTGGGAGTGCAGAGCGGGGAAGGGAGAGGCTGGAAAGCGTGGCGGCCACTTACCTAGGCAGATAGTGGGGTCATTGCAGGAGAGGAAGTAAGTCCTGCAATCGGCACAGCTGGTGACCTTCAGTGTGGACCGTATGTCTATGGGAGGGGAGGGACAGGGGCTAGGGGGTGCCAGGTGCCTTTCAACCCTCCCCCAGGCCCAGTCCCCTTGCATACTCACCACAGGACTCATTGCAGGCTGCCAGGGGTGAGAAGGTAGAGAAACTGAGGTGTTGGGGAGGCAGACACAGCCAAGGGGGTCTGGGGTGCAAGTAGGAGATGGAGCTGGGGAAGGTGTTCATGGGCAGGAGTGGGGCTCCTGGGGATGGTTGAGGGGGCTGCAGAGTGAACTCTGCGTGCCTTCGGTCTTGACAGGTGCAGAGGGCTGGGCCATGTGCGGGGATCGTCCCCACCCCTTACCCTTCTCCTTCAGCCCATCAGATATCTTATTCAGCCTCGCAGTGAAGAGATTCTTGTGCATGTCGATCTCTTTCAGAAGTACTGTTTTATCTAGGTAGAGCAGAAGGGAACGGATGTTCCGTGTTACAACTTGCTCAAGGTTGGGTTTTCAGACCCTTGTTTCTAAATGGAAGTTCCAAAGAGCACACAGAGACAGACTGCATTCATTTCCCACCTTCTCAAGACCTCCCACCCATGGCCACATGGGCCTCTGAGAATGCTTGGAGGGTGGACCTTTGTCCACCCAAGCCCCAAGGCCCTGGGACTCTTGGCTTCCTCACCATCTCGTAATGTTTTAATGGCTTGGTGTACTTGAGTGAAGAATTTGGCTGTTTCTTCTTCCAAATGGTCACGATCTGAGGATGAGATACAGGTAAAAGAGAAGTCAAGGGAGTAAGATCCCAGGTCAGGTAAAGAGGCCAGATACAATTCCCAATCTCCTGGCTGTGCCTTACCAAGGTACCAGGGTTTGAGAAAATTATTATCCTCTAGGAACAGAGAGTGAACGCTTTGAGAAAGTTCTGTGGGTGGCCCCGGGGTCCCCCAGAGAATCTGAAGGTCGTAGTCTATCCAGGCAGACAGTTCCGGCCAGCAGCGGAGGCAGTTCTTCCCTTCGATGGCGGGCAGCAGACAGATGAGCAGGAGAGGCAGCATCTTCTGGGGTCCTCCTACTGTGCCCCAGTGCCCTGCCTGGAAGTTCCACGTGGAACACTGGTGTTCTGTCCCCCTGGGAACCACATTCTCTTGGCAGGACAAAGTGCATTCTGTAGGGCAAGGCAAGGCTCAGCTGTGGAGTCACAATATGAATCCAAGCTTTGGGACTGGACCTAAGTGGGAGCCTTGGTACATAGTTCCTCCTTTGAACTTGGAGTCACTTGCTCAGCAGGGAAAGTCCTTGTGAGGATCAGAGGGACGGCTGCACTGCCTGGTGGTGGGTGCTCAGCTATCTTGACTGTGTTCATCTGGTGTGGAAGAGTTTAACACGACTGAAATTTGAGAGGCAGAAAAGAGCAGCACAGCAAGAGGGTTAGTTGAGTGAAGAGAATCGGAACCTCTTCACACTTTTCCACAAAGGGTCAACCAAGGAGAAGTTGATGGAAAAAAACATGTTTTCACAGCATAGATAAACTGACAGCTGTCTCATGTTTGGTCCAGTCAGAGGGGCTTAGCTTCTAATACCACAGTGCAGGCAAAGAGTATAGACAAGTTCCAGTCAGCATTGCACAGAAGTGCAGACAGAGAAGCCACGTTCAGAGCCGTGGTTCTTTTGTGAAATGTGCCCTGAAAAAAAGCAAAACTCCCTACTCTTTTGTAATAAAGAAATCCAGTGGGATCCTTGTCACTCCTCAGCTGGCAAGCTTTGCCCTTCCATGCCATGATTCTGAGTGCCTTGGGCTGGATCATGGGCAGCTAAGACCACCAGGCATTTAAGGAATGCCTCTAACATGACCAAGAGACAAAAACCGTAGCAAGAATTCAAAACAAAGGCAAACAAAAACAGCAGGAAAAAGGAAGAGTACAGAGTTATGACAAGAAGCAGAATAAAACTTAGAACCTAGCCAGGCGCAGTGGTTCATGCCTGTAATCCCAGCACTTTGGGAGGTTGAGGTGGGTGGATCACTTGAGTTTGGGAGTTCGAGACCAGCCTGACCAACAGGGAGAAACCCCGTCTCTGCTAAAAATACAAAATTAGCTGGGTGTGGTGGTGCATGCCTGTAATCCCAGCTACTAGGGAGGCTGAGGCAGCAGAATCACTTGAACCTGGGAGGCGGAGGATATGTGAGCCTGAGCCTAGATCATGCCATTGCAACTCCAGCCTGGGCAACAAGAGCGAAACTCCTGTTAAAAAAAAAAAAAAAAACAACAAAAAAGGAAAAAAAAGCTTAGAACCTAATTACATAGAACTTAATTACAATTAAATTGACAAAATATTGTTTTTCCCAGACAAGAAGAAGTTGCTGTGTAAAAGAAAGAGTTATTGGAGACTAAAAGTATGATAGCGCAAATCTAAAAATTCCATAGAAGTGTTGGGAGATCATTTCAGAAATCTTCCAGACAGAAGTACAAAAAGACAGAGATGGGAAATAGGAAATAAAAATACAATACAATTAGATAATCAATCCATGAGGTCCAACATCCAGCTAATACAAGTTCCAGAAAGAAAATGGAGAGGTGAAAATTATTTATAGTAGTTGTGTAGGAAGTATATTCAGGAAGAGATTCTATTCTATATAGAGAGGGATGTGGCATTGAGGTTTGCTAGAAGAAATAGCTGAGGCTGGGTGCAGTGGCTCATGCCTGTAATCCTAGCACTTTGGGAGGCCAAGGGAGGTGGATCACTTGAGGTCAGGAGTTCAAGACAAGCCTGGCCAACATGGGGAAACCTCGTCTCTAGTAAAAATATAAAAAGTTAGCCAGGTGTGGTGGCTTGCACCTGTAATCCCAGCTACTCGGGAGACTGCGGCAGGAGAATCGCTTGAACCTAGGGGACAGAGGTTGCAGTGAGCTGGGATTGCACCACTGCACTCCAGCCTGGGCAATAGAGTGAGACTCTGTCTCAAAAAAAGAAAAGAAAAAGAAGGAGAAATAGTTGAATTAATAAATTCAGGCTATACTAGTCAGGTGGGCTCTGCGATGAGAGGGTGATTCCGAGTACTGCAGAGATGTTGCTCTATCCCTGGCTTTGTATGGAATCATGGGTGAGGAATAAGCCTGTTTTTTTCTCCTAAGTCAATATCTCTGGAAAGGCAAGGCCTGGAAGGGCCCCAAAACAAAACTTCCATGTCCTCAAGATGTATCACCCTCTAGGCAATTGGTGTTTGTCACACTAGAAAGCTCACTCAAGACATGGTGTTCAGTTAATTTTTACTGGAGTTTCATTATGTAGGTGTGATTGACTGAATCACTGGCCATGTGATTGAACTCGATCTCCAGGCCCTGTCCCTCCCTGGAGGTTGGGCTGATATTCCCTGGCTCAAAGCCCCAACCCTCTAATCACATGGTGTCTTTCTCTTGTGGTCAGCTCCTATCCTGAGTCATTTTGTTAACATAAAAGGATATGGCTAGGTAGGGTCTCACAAGCCCACCATGAATAATAGACCCTCTTATCACTCAGGAAACTTCTGAGGATATAGAGGTTCCCTCTCAGGTACCAGGGACAAAGGATAGCCAGATTCTTTGCCATACAACAATAGCACATAAAGTTCTGATTACCCGTTAACATTTGCGCATGAATTCATTCAGATCTAGGCTTTGTAATGCTTCTTGGTCTCCTGGAATCATCTGGGAGGATCTCAAGTCCCAGGCACAAGCTTTTGTTTTGCCCATGCTGAGTTGTGTAGATATTAGAATAGAGGCAATTAGAAATCCAGGGACAAGTGGAACATGACAAGGGCATCTATTTTAGCAAATTAACTCATTTGGTTGGTAAAATCATCTTAGAGGTCATTGACCTGCAAATCCTGTCCAGTTATTATAGGGACCTTGTTTGAAAGAACAACATTTGATACATCCAAGAGGCTGGCACCTGGTTGGTCAATGCCTTTATAAAGGGTTGGATTTAGTTGTTTGATTTTTTTAATGGAAAAATTACAAAAAGTTCATCATCAGATAACCTATCATAAATGAAATATTCATTTCATTTTCTTTCTGGTTAAAACTTGTGTCTTGAAATGCTTTGTTGTATCTACTTAGAATGATCAATGGGGATGCCTGGGGGGAATCTCTCTTGCAGAATTTGTTGGTAGAGAACATTAAAATTGCATGAAGCCAGTCATGTAATTTTAATGACCATCAAAAGGATTTTGCCTAGCATTGGGAGGAATTGAAAGTGAGATGATGCTTCTGGGAAAGGTTGAAACCTTGGGTGTTCAAGGAGACAAGTTTCTGGATCTATAGGGCACTCCCCCGTCTACCTCTGCTGCTGGGCAGAGACATTCTCTCCCTGGTTAGTGGCTGTGGAGAATCTGCAAAACACAGGGCGCCTGGCTATCTCCTTCTGGTCCTAGAGAGTCATGCAGGGCTAGTGCTGGTGGTGGCCTTGCCCAGGACTCAGTGTAGCCCATCCACTGCTCTAGGGAGAAGTGGCTGAGGCCCTGAGGGGAACAGATGAGGGTTCACATTCATGCTTTGTGCCCTCCAGACCAATGCCCGACACCCCACTCCTACTCCCCTTTCTCTTGAATTCTTTCCATTTTCCTGACATTGAGTTCAGCTCTGCATCCACGAAGCCTGCTCAGGTCTCTCCACCCACAGAGATTTCCGCGTCCTCTCATCTTTGTCAGGGGCCATGTTTGTGTCTTTCATTAGGCAATTAGCGACATGCCAGCTTGTGACAGGCTTTCTGTTGATTCAAACTGTCGTTAAAATCTGCTGTAACCTATACTTTCTCAGGCCTCACCAGCCTGCTTCTAAAAACAGGTTACAGTCACAATAGCATTTCCTTGGGCCATCTCCTTTTTGCAAGGTCTGCTCTCCTGGCTCCCCCGGCTGTCAGAGTCTGGGTGGCCCTCAGGGGCTGTCCGTCTGATGCCATGATGCAGCTCATGTGGCTGGCCTGGGATGCCTGCTCCTCTCTCTGTGGCGCTGCACTCACCTGCCACTCCCCACACACCATGTTCCCAGCTTCTCCCTGTTCCAGTGAAAGGGGTTCTTGCTCCTTGAAGGAGCCCAGGGCTCACTTGATGGCCTTGATGAGGCCCCGGGCCCTGACCACAGCCCTGGAGAAAAGGAAAAATGGCTCCTCTCATTTAGCCACAGGCCCACTGCAGAACCTCTGTGTCCCAAGCTCTGAGTAGGCCCGAGGCCGCTGGCTATCTTCTCATGGAGGTGAGTGGCAGTCCTGGAAGCATTCCTGCTCATCGCCCTCTTGGCTTCTCACCATAGCTTCTTTCTCACAAAGCTCCTCGTCCGCAAGGATGAGCCTCCCCAGGAGTCTTGCAGACAGGTCTGAACTCTAAGGTAACTTAGAGAGACAGGTGGGGACAAGGACTGCATTTATGCTGGTCAAAGGTGATTTTGGTGGGACAAGCTCTGGTTCCCAAATGAGGTATTCGTCTTCTCTGGAGAAGTCGGAGCAGAGATAGAGGCCCCCCGCCCAGGCATGGGATGTCTTTACCCTACCTCCTTGGGTTTTTGGGTTTTGTTTGGGACCATGAATTCATCTGAGGACGAGAGCACTACATCTCCTCTCTGAAGAGGTGGTCGTCACAGCTCTCATGATAAACACCTGAGGTCAGGAGCACATGGCCACTGCCAGGAAGGTGGAGCATCTTTGAAGGACAAAAAGGGCTTCCTGCCCAGCCCTGCTGACATCCTTCTCTGCGGCAATGTGTTCTCCTTGTTTGGGAAGAATGAGGCTCTGGTCTTCCCACACACATCTCTCAGGGCTGGTGGCACTGCAGAGGGTCTAGAGACCCCTCCTCCGGTTGGGTGATTGCCCCTCTCTCAAGGCAGGCAGGGTGTTGTGTAGTGCTCCCCGGGTGGGGAAGAATACTGCAGACATTAGGAACATTGTTGTAGGAATGGAAGGGTCCTGTCCCTGAAACTTACTAATTGCACCTGTTTCCTTTCAGGTTGTGGCAGATGGTACGTTTCCAAAGAAGATGGAGCCTCGTATCCCACCCACAGACGCTTCTGCAGCGGGAACTGGCCACTCCCCCAACAAGAGGTGGAGTCCAGTTCTCCTCCCTTTGATTTGGGCTGACCTTACGGATTTGTTTGTAATTAGTAGAATGCAATAGAACTGACTCCTTGTGACTTCCAAGTCTAAATGAGAATGGCCCTGCAGCCTCCACTGGTCCTGCTGGGCAGCTCATTCTCTGGACGTTCACTCCTGGGACGCTCCTTCTTGGGATCCAGCCACCATGCCGGGAGAAGCCTTAGACACATGAAGAGGCCACATATGGATGGTCTGGGCGACAGTGGTCCCAGTCCAGATACCAACATGCGAGTTAACAAGTCTCTGTATGACTCTAGCCCATAAGCCTTTCGAGTGTTCCCCGTTAAGGCTCCAGATATTGTGGAGCAGAGCAAAGCCACGTCCAGGCCTGTGTCCTTTTGTCCAGCAAGAGATTCAGGGAACACAGGGCTCTGCAAAGTGCACAACACAAAGAGTTGTCCATTCAACAGGGGAAGGACTCGCCCTTATTAGTGGTGGCCCAGGCCCAGTGGGGCCCCTAGCTGATGGGGCTCTGCAAAGCACGATTGGAGGGCTCAGTCAGGGCAGGAAATCAAAGTGGTGGTGGCCTGTTGCTGCCTATGTGGCCCAGTCCTGGGGACTTGTACATGGAGAAGTTTGGGATCTCCAAGTGAGCTTTGACTACAGAACACCTGGAAGCCACACAGAAGCTCACAGGCCTAGGTCCCAGTTGAATGAACACCGTAGCCACTCCCACCCACCCCACCCTCCAAGAAGAAAAAGAGATGGAGCGGAAAAGGCAGACAAGGTGCACTCTGACACTTCCTGCTGGAGGGTAGGATGGTGGAAATGGAGAATAAACCTTCATGCCGTCTTTGCTCAGATGGATTTATTTCAAATCTTGTTCAGACATTTATTTATTTTCTTTTTAGACAGAGTCTAGTTCTGTTGCCCAGGCTGCAGTGGGCGGCACGATCTCTGCTCACTACAAGCTCTGCCTTCTAGGTTCAAGCGATTCTCCTGCCTCAGCCTCCCGAGTAGCTGGGACTACAGGTGCATGTCACCTCACCTGGCTGATTTTTTTTTATTGTGTTTTAGTAGAGATGGGATTTCACCATGTTGGCCAGGCTGGTCTCGAACTCCTGACCTCAAGGGATCCACCTGCCTCAGCCTCCCAAAGTGCTGGGATTACAGGCGTGAACCACCATGGCTGGCAGACATTTCCTTACTGTATGATCCTGGGCTCGATGCTTCACGTCTTGAGCCTCAGTTTCTTCATCTTTAAAATGGGGCTAATTAGACTGCCACCTCTGGAGAGTTCTGAGATCTCTGTCAAGTGCTTAGCATAATGTAGGCCCTCAGTCTTCTAAATCCTTTATCTTCTCTTTACGCAGCTGGGCCCAGTTGCCAATAATGACAGCAATGCACTATGAAGGGCATACTGTGTGCCAGGCACAGGGCTTAAGGCACAGACCCTTTTGACACCACCGTCCCTGGGAAGCTGCCTGCTAGTAGGCCAGTGTGCTGGGGCAGGGGAGTGGATCAGCTGCAAGGGAAGGCCTGCAGTGTCACTGACTAAGCTTCAAAGGAGTCTCTTGGCATCAGTAGAAAATACGAGGTCCCAGGCGGTAGTGCTCGGGCTTCCTCCTGTTGGTTCTCCAGCCACGTGACTGGGACCTCAGGCACATGTCTGTGCCATAAACTCATGGGTGAACATGCCCATACCTAAGGGTGAGCCAGCACGGATCAGAAGAACTGACTGCTACTGGCATTTGCATCTGGGAAACAGTGGATCCCTCTGGGGCCAGAGCATATGGCAAGGTATTTAGCTTTGAAGGCTGTGACAGGTGGGGCTGCTGTGGGCCAGGCCCTTGTGGAGACTCCTCTGGTGCCCAAGGAGAGGCCTCATGACAGAAGAGAATCCCATACTCACGGCTGCTGGGCGAGTTTCCCAGCCTCCCCAGGTGTCTCACCTGGCATATGGCCTTTCCCTCGTGGCTGTGAAATGCCATTTATTGTGTGCCTGCTGCCTGCCAAGGGCCGTGCCAGGAGCTCCGCAGAGACGATGGAATGTGGAGCCTCCTGCCACCCCTGGGAGCTGATGCTGGATCTTGCAGGGCCTACTAGGAAGATCGAAACTGGAGAGTAATGAATGGGGCACGCACAGCCACAGTCTAGCCAAGGGCAGATGCTCAGCAAGGGTCGGTTGTTGTTAGGTTTGGATTGTTGGCTCTGCGACCACTCAGGGGAGGGTGCACTAGGACCCTGCCCTCGCTTCCTGGTCTGGGGCTGTGCTATGGGGTGCTGCTGCCTGCCAGGTCCCGCCCCTTGCCTTCCTCATCAGTTCCCTCCTCCCTGCTCTTTATTCTCCTTACCCTCAACGGTATTCCAGTATTCAGCAGAGCTGTGGGATGCATTTTCCAATGGAAGGTTCCCTGCAAAGTGGTGAGGAAGGTGATCAGTCTGGTCTTGGGCATCTGCTGTCAGCTCCTCGGGTCTCCATGCCTCCCCCCACTCCTCCCCAGACTCTGCTCCTGGCACCTTCTCGCCACTGTCTGAGCCACAGTTGCTTTTTGGAAAAAAAAATCCGCGCTCCGTCACTTACATGTCAGTACGTACAAGCGTGTGTCCTTTCTGCTGGGGGTGTTGGACTTCTTCGCTGTGGCTGGGCCTTGCCCTTGGGAGTTTACGCTTCAAGGGGACACAGTCATCATTTCAGAGCCTGCTGTGTGCCAGGTGCTCTATCCACTGAGTCACAGTTAATCTTTACAGTAAGTGTATCAGTCAGGGTAGGCAAGGTCAGGCCCTGGTAACAAACACCCGCAAATCTCAGTGGCCTAAAACAACAAAGACTTCTTTGTCTTTTATGTTACTTAGCCATACAGCTTGGCAGGGGTCTCTGGTCATTAAAGCCTCTCAAAAGCCGAGCAGATGGCACAGTTCCTCCCTTGGGTGTTAGGGGCCACCCTGCCAGGGGGAGAAGTGAGTGTAGGAGGGTCCTGAAAGCCTCCAGCCGGGAAGTGGAAGATGTCACCTCCACACACAGGTCATGCACAGATCTAATTATATGGCCTCTCCCAGCCTCAAAGATGGCACCTTATAATATGGTCTGGTGGGGGGCTCCTGCCGAGGACCTGCCCTGAGGAGAAGTGGCAATGTCTGGTGACCAGTGTGGGGGACTCCCAGCCCAGCCTGTGAGGAAAGTCTGCATTCCCACGTGACCCATGGGAACGGGAGTCGCTCCTGCAGGCAAACAAGGAGGAAACAGCAGACGGAACCCAGATCCTGGACCCGAAGATCCATGCTGTGGGTGAAGAGTTTCATTTTCCCAGCTCATTAATCTTTACTGGAAAAGTCATTTGGAGGATTTTAAGAGGGTATTGAACCCACACAAAGCTCCAGCCTAGAAATTGGTCATGTCCTCAGGAAACCCAAAGAAGAAACATTTGGGAGCAGTTGATGACAGGGTCCCTGCCCTCTCCCCTGCTGTTCCTCCCAGAGAACTCTGTGACTCCGGAGGGGGCAGCAGAGACAGAAACAGCAGGGGGCCTGGGGCCTCCATGTAGAGGCCCACTGCATGCTAAGCTCATGCCAGCGCAGGGTGCTATCCTCACTTGACATGTGCCGGAAGCAGGGCTCAGGTTAAGGGACCTGCCAGGGCCACACAGCTGGGAACCTCAAGGTGAGGTGATCAGAACCCCATCCTGACCCTACTCCCTGCATTCCCCTCTAAAGCCCTGTAAGATAACCCCCTCATCCCCAATGCCCCTGGCCCAGGAGCTCTTGCCTAAGCAGGTGATTCTGGGTGGGAAGATCTGGGGGTATTTATGGACCTAAGAGCCTCTCAGGAGGCTCTCAGTGCCCAGCAGGAACGGATGGCTGAGTCTGGCAGTTCCCAGTGCAGGGAATAAGGCCGGCTGGCTTGTGGCTTGGTGAGTCCCAGAGAGGCAGAGAAGGCAGAGGCCAGAAGCAAAGGGAAGACTCTCAGGTCCTGGGAGTGCTGTGGGTCCTGGCCCAGAGGAAGGGGGTGCCGGGTGGTGTCACAGGGTCCATGCGCCGTGTGGATCCTGGGAGCTTGGAGCATGGACCTTCAGGCCCCACTCCAGGCTGGGGCAGCCGTTCTTGAAAGCTCCTTCCACAGCAAGGAAACCCCATCACTCCAAACAGGCCCTGAGGAACGAAACATCTGCCACTTAATTTTTCCTTTCTGCTTTCTCCCTCCTCTGGCGTTTTGCCTAAGTCTCCAGGACCAGGTGTGCTTTGTAGGGCAAAGAGCTAAATCCTCAGAGCAAGACCCTCTTCCCTTCCCCACTGAGCAACTTCCACCCTGCTCAGTGCCCTGCAGAACCTGGCGGGGTTGGAAATGGACAGCGTTAAGTGTGTAGATACTGTTGCCCTCGGTCTTCCAAGTAGCCATGTGTGGTAGGCACGTCTATCTCCATTTCAAAGGTGGGGAAACCGAGGCCTAGGGAGATTAGAGTGGCTTGCTCCAGGCTGCCTGGTTAGCAGCAGGTGAACAAGGCACTGCCCCAGGTGTCTCACCTCAAGGCCAGTGCAGCCTGCACACCCACTGCTGAGAGAGGAGGGAGGGCCCAGAGGTGTGGGGGCCGTGTAGGGTGCAGGGCAGCACGCTTCCCAGCTCCTGCGTGGTCCTCCTTCTGCTGTGGGGAGACTGTGGCCCGCTGGAGAACCAGGGTTCTCATAAGAAGGGGTGGGGAACTTGTGAGCCGCATTTTGGGGGAAGCGGGGTTGGCTTTCGACTGGGGACGGGCAGCCCCAAGTTGACAGAGTGGAGGCAGCTGCTGCAGAGGAGGAGAGGAGGATTCCCCAGTCTTGAGGGAACGCAGTTTTCTGACAGGTAGACTTGGGTCACTCAACTTTGTAAGGAATGGTTTTCTGACACCTGGAGACCCCATCTGCAGCAGTGTGGGTCCAGGCTCACAGAGATTCAGGGAGAGTCTCAGCACAGCCCCTAACCAGCCACGTGGCCTCAGGCAAGTCAATTACCCTCTAGGGGTAATAGCAGAGTTGTAATGGGAATTATTTAGGTGGTGGAAAGAGCTGAGCCCACGCCAGCAGGTAGTAAGCATGGGTGCCAGCGGTGAGCTCTGTTGTTATTACGGCAGTGGGATGGGGCTAGGGAGCGGCTTAGCACTGGAGCTCATCCAGCAGTGATGGGATGGTCTGGCTGGTGCTACAGGGGAGACCTGCAATGGGAGAAGGTAGAATCTGACCACATTTAGGTCCTTTCATCTCACTTTTGATAATGTTTTTGAGGTGCTGGGTGATCCCTGGGCAGGTTACATGGTTACATGGCCCTCTGGGACGTCAGTTTCTTCCTTTGTAAGCTCTCCTCTCTGGCCAGGGTGATAGGATGGCAATTCAACCCAACAAGAGTCCTGTTGGTGACTGAAGCACTGTGTCTCAGAGGGAGAAGGAAGAATGGCTTCGTGCTGCAGAGGCAAGGGGTTAGGATGACTTTCCTGGGACACGGTGGTTCTGTGGATTCTTTGGGCTCTGATCTAAGCCCGTCCACTGGCTTTGGTCCAGGGGCATTGGCTTGAGAGCCTCATCTTCCCTGCATTTGGCTCCGGTGCTCACTGAAGCAGAGTACACGAAACTCCCCGTATAAGCCTGGTAATGTGGCTCAGAATTGGGCCCTGCAGGGTTATTAGAGCCATCCATCTTAATTATACTGAAAATCACTTATGCGTTTTCCCTAATAACACTGCATTCACATTTCCCAGCTCTGAGCCGTCTCCTGGCAGGGCTGTCACTCTCAGGGTGGAGTGTTTTCTGCAAGTCGCATTTCTTTGTTCTCTCTCCCTTGGTGGGACGATGGACTGGGCATGACGGGATCCTTTCCTGTGGGCCATGGATGCAGGGTCAGGCCCTGGGGAGACTGAACCCTCCTGAGTGCTAGGTACTGCCCAGATTCTTCACACCCAGGATGTGATTTAATCCTTTGCATAACCTTGTGAGATCCATGTGCTTATTTTACAGATGAGAAAACAGAGGGTCAGAGAAGCTAAGAACTTATGCAAAGCAGCTCCCTCAGAAATGGGGGCTTCAGGAAGAAAAGCTCCTCTTCTGCTTTCCTTTGATGTGTTCGCAGACCCCCCGTCCACCCCACCGTTGCAGTTTCCATTCTGGCTTTGCCAGGGAGCTGTGAGAAGAAATGCTTTCCTCAGGCTGGGTGAGGTGGCTCACACTTGTAATCCTAGCATTTGGGAGGCCAAGGCAGGTGGATCGCCTGAGGTCAGGAGTTGGAGACCAGCCTGGCCAGCATGGTGAAACCCTGTTTCTACCAAAAATACAGAAATTAGCCTGGTGTGGTGGCAGGCACCTGTAATCCCAGCTACTTGGGAGGCAGTGGTTACAGTGAGCCAAGATCCCGCCACTTCGCTCCAGCCTGGGCGAAAGAGTGAAACTCTGTCTCAAAAAAAAAAAAAAAAAAGTAAAAGAAAAAAGAAGAGCTTTCCTCCCTTGGTGCATCCTCCCCACAGAGCCCCAGAAAACATGCACACAGCACACACGCAGATACATGCACAACACACGCACACAACACACACACATGCACGCACACATTCTCTCTCTCTCTCTTTCTCTCTCTCTCTCTCTCTTTCTCTCTCTCTCTCTGTCCCCACTACCCACAACTCCCTCCCTGTCTAGTATAGGGTCTCGGTTTTTAGTATAGGGGAGGGCTAAGGCTGGGTCCGTCACTCGCTACTCACAGGGGGGCAACCTTGAAGGTGACAGTAAATTGGACCTTGCGCTGCCCGGGAAGAAAATGGACTTGCGGCGGGTCTCAGGAGGCAGGAGCCGGGGCAGGCCTGGGAGTAGACCTGGAAAGCTCCTGGCTGTGGGTGCTCCAGTCCGGGGGTTCTGGCCTGAGGGGGCTCCTCCCACGGTCTTGAGACTACTGGGTACATAGAAAGTAGAAGCCAAGAGACAAATATTGGGAGGGAGGGAAAACAAGACAGATGTAGTGTATGCCAACCACATGCCATTTTGCCCTAGGGGAAATGAGTCGAGACTGAGCTTTGAAGGGCTTGGGCCGGGAAGAGAGAGGGAAGAGGGAAGGGGCAGGAGGCCCTGAGCGCGGAGGTGTGGTGTGGGGAGGGAGGGACGGGGAGACAGGAACCAGGTGGAGCCTCTGCCTGCCCTGGGATCAGCAGGTGATTTAGGGGAGGTGATTCTTGCAGGTGAGGAAGAGGGTGGAGGAGGCAAGAGGGAAGAATCTGGCAGGGATCAGATACGGGAGTTCAGGCACGATTTACTGCCAATGGGAGGGTCACTCAGAGGGGGCTCCGGAAAGGCAGGGGCAGAGCCCGGTCCCTTCTGGGGCGGAGGCCAGCAGCCAGCCTTGGGCAGGAGCAGGCGCGCTGGGAGCTGAGGCCGAGCCGGCGGGCGCACGCGAGGGGGCGCTGTGGGGCTGCACCACCTGGTCGGCCAGGCCACGCCCACCCCGCTGAAGAGCCGCCGGGGTGCGTTTGGGGCTCTGGGTGATGGGCCCGACCGAGGATGGGGGGCTGGGAGGGTCGGCCTCGTGTGCCTCATCAGTCCTGTGGGGCCGGGTCACGCTGGGCACAGAGCCTTTGCTTGCAGCTGGGCCAGGGCCAGGTGGCCGGCTGCTAGAGGGCGCTCAGCCTCTCCGGACATGGCCTGGCTCCTGGGTTCAACGCGCGGGGCCCTGGGTTGCAAGACTGCGGAAGCGCTTTCCAGCACAGATTTCCAGGGCCTGCCCTGTGGGTTGCCCCTGACGCCCCCACTTCCCTTCGCATCCCAGACACTCTGGTCCAGGAGGTGCAGAGTTCAGGGCCTGCAGAGCACGTCCCCCCACGAAGCCATCCTTGGGCGAGCACCAAGAAAGCTGGCTGATGAACGGGCTTCCACCCGGAGTCCAGACAGCTGCCTGGCCTGCTGACTCAGCTCGGGAAAGCTGCCGAGGCAGAAACTTCTCTAAGAGCAGAAAAATAAGGCGCAAGGCCCTGGCGCAGTCTGTGGTGAAGGAGTGAGGTTTGAGACAGGCCTTGAACCCTGGAGGACCCTGGAGGGGCCTGGAGCTCCCAGCCGGGCCTGCTCCAGCCCAGGAGGGAACAGCAGCAGCACAAGTCCGTGCGTCTCGGATGGAGGCTTCATTTGTCCAGAGCCCTCCAGGCGCCTTTGGGAGCTAAGATGTGGGTCTCCCTGTTCCCATATGAGGATTCCGAGGCCCCGTGGAAACCCATAACCGACATCCAGCAAGGTAGGATGGACCTGCTGGGCCTGGCGTGGAGCCCGCCTGTGCACTTTGCATACTCACTGCCTCCTCAGCCCCTCACACCTCTCCTCTTCGGCTGCTCCCCAACTTGGAGACTGGGAGTGTGGCCAGAGGCTTCCTCGAGAGATGGTCAGGGCTCTGCAGAGAAACAGAATCAGTAGGATATATACACACACACACACACACACACACACACTATATATGAGCTATGATATGTATCATATGACGGAGTCCAATTATTAATCGTATGCAGCGAAAAGAGAGAGAAGAGAAAGAAAAGAGACAGTACGACAAGTTTCAAAAGGGCTCAGAGCTGATGCCCACAAAGCCCCAGCAGAGGAATTCCCCCTGCTCCAGGTCGAGGCACACCGTTCTTCGGGCTGATGCAGCCATGATAGAGGAAGCCCGACCCGGAGGTGCTGCGTTCCTCCGCCTCGCGGGGTGTAGCGGTGGTTGTGGTTGTGGTGTTTTTGGTGTGTGTTTTGTTTATTGAGAAGGTGCCCACCGAGTCTAGGTGCATGATCCGTGTAATGTATAATGAGTATATGATTGGTTGTGTTCTGTATTGTCTTTGACTCTACCTGTGCTAAGGTGGATATTTCTTCCTCCGCTCTGGCGGCTTCAGCTGCCTTTGAGCATGCAGGCGCCTGGCGATAGTGTGATTGGTACTCTTGTCAGCCTGTCTCCGCTTTCGTGTCGCTTGCCCTTCGCTGGCTCTTCCAGTAAGATTAGTATTACATACGTATATGGATTTATTTTATGTATGCTTATTGTATATTTCATATCAATAATTTAGTGTGTTGTGTGGTTGTGGTGTGTGTGTGGTTTTGCTTCTTATATATCCTACTGATTCTGTTTCGCTGCTAGTAGTCTCCTGATTCTATCTTCCGTCGGTTGCTAGGGATGTGTGATAGCTCTGGCCACACTCCCAGTCTCCAAGTTGGGTAGCGAGCCGTATGTTTGCGAAGAGAGAGGGTGTGAGGGGCTGATGGAGGCGAGTGAGTAGCAAGTGCACAGGCGGCGCCAGGCGCAGGCCGCAGCCAGGCCAGTCTACCGCGGAGTCGGTATTGGGTTCCAGCGGGCCTCGGAATGCCGGTCAGTAGTGGGAACAGGGAGACCCACATCTTAGCTCCAGAAAGGGCGCGCTGGAGGCGGTCTGGACAAAGGAAGCCGCCGATCGCGAGACGCGAGCGGAACGTTGGGCGCGCTGGTTCCTCCTGGGCGGGAGCAGCCCGCGGTGAGCCCAGCCCCAGGTCCTCCAGGCAAGGCCTGTCTCAAACCTCACTCCTTCACGCACAGGACGGGCGCCAGGGGCTGGCTTATTTGTTCTGCGCTTAGAGAAGTTCTTGGCCCGGCAGCTGTCCCGAGCTGAGTCAGCAGGCCAGGCAGCTGTCTGGGACTCCGGAAGCCCTGCAGTCAGCGCCAGCTTTCTTGGGGCTCGGCCCGAAGGATGGCTTCCGGCGGGGACGT